AGGTGCGACAGGACGTTAAAACTTAATACAGTCGTGCTCTGATTTTGAGAAACAGCACAAACACTACCTATTACCGAGCTCGATCCACTGTCGGAGCAGCTGATACTGTCTTTCACTCAAAGTATAAGCTGAAAAGACGATGACAGAACATGATTAAATAATTTTTGAAAAACATTTTCTCAGTTTTGAGAAAATTAGGGTTTCTAAGTACAGAAGTGCACTGGGATTTGATCCAGCTCTGTTCAGTGGCGGCATGAAGGAGTTTCAAAAAAAGAAACCAACTTGGCCTTATTATTTTACGCATAAAGACCCGTGACAAGACACTCGCAAATACAAATGCATTTTGATAATGCGCTTCTTACACTAAGAAACAATTTCGCCTAACATTTTTGAAAATTGAATTCGGCCACCGAACGAGGATCACGAGGTAGCGGCAGCAGTCGCCCAGATGTTTCACATTCATCAAGAGGAAAATCCAAAAATTTCCACTCCACGTAGACTTTTTGTCGGTCGTATGATGCGTCCAGCAATACAGACATTTCACTCACGTGCAGATTTCCAATGGTCAGTTCCACAACATACGCATGAATCACCTGGGATTAGAACATACATATTACTTACAATTTTATAATGACCGATATCAGTTGTTTTCAGGAGAAATAGTGCTCTACCTCTTCATCCGGTGTGCGATATCCAGCGCTGACCATTGGTATATCTTCCTCGATAATTTGCACTCCTTCTGTGCTCCAGCTAGCAGTCGTCTCGCCATTGCTACTCGCACTCGCTTAAAAGAATTCGTAAATTAAGAAAAAAGTTCCGGCCAATTTCTTTTTCAGATACGTTTAGAAGACTAACGAGAAAATGACTGCTCTATGGGATCGGCAAATTCCACAGCACGTGGAGCTCTGCGCACTCGGTGTGACAGTATTGACTTGTGTGGCTCGTCGTGCCATTTATCCTGAACTCAAATTGAAATGAGCACTGAGAACAGATGGAAATGGGTTCGACGGATGATAAATCAGGTTGACTTGGATAGAAATGGAAAATTCAGTTGTAAGCGTTGTTAAAACATCGGTGTTCGCAACGAAGCAGTAAACAATGAAGCCGAGAAAAAAACAAAAACAAAATTTCTTTAAATCGGTGATAACCGATGAGCATAGCACACTACGCAGATGGATTCTTGTATGAGAAGAAGGCTCTCAGTGAGCAAAGTAGCCAAATAATTATCTAAGGGCAGTAGCCATTGGCTACTTTCAAAAAGCCCGGTGGAAAGTTTAGCTTTCACATAATCTGCCATAACTGAAGTATGGATAGACAAAAAAGCGTTTGCCAAATGTCAAAAGTGTGCAATAAGCAAACCCTTAGTATATACCCTTAGTAGTCCATCGCGTGTACCAACAAGCAAGTAACTGATAGAGAAAGATCTGTAGGACAGCACTTGGCATATGTTTACAGTCATCAACGATTCCAAATTGACCATCGGAACGATCTTGCTTGCTGTGCTTTGGACCAAAATATGATGAGGCACAGTGCTTATCATAATGGTTAAGTGTGGCATACAAATACAGTTAGCACTGCATTTCTGGCTAAATTAGCCAGTTTGCAATCTACTGCAACTCGTCAACAAAACGCTGCTACCTCTCGCAACTTTTTCAAGCAATTCTTGTCGCATAAACAGGTTCTTGGGGAGAAACTAGCTCAGAGAAGAGTACTTCAGCAGCGAGGAGTAGCGACGAGCTCTTGATCGCCAATGTAGTTATGCATTTTTGCGCTAAGCTGCTACGGACACACAGTTCATGAATGAAACAAAATATGCACTTAAGGTAAAAATTATTGTTACATCTCACTGCATACTGCAACTGCGCTGAGTTTAGTTTTGAGCTGTATAACCAAATGTTTTACGCTTCTTGCGTCAGTGCTTAGGAGGGAGGGAAAATTGATTTTACATTTCTCGACCCGTACATGACCACGGACGACTTTTAAAATTTCAGTTTTTTAGCTATCTTCGTTCTGGAGTAAAATAAACGCAGGCAAAAATACACCCTCACTCTGCATTAACGCAGAAAAAATACATTAGGCCAAAAACATACCACGCTACCACCTTCATTTTCTGTAACATCGTAATTTTTTTCCTCGCCCTTTTCCTCAACAACATCAATAACTTTCGGCTTCGCATCGTTAAATTCAGAGTTCGAGCCAGAACCACTGCCTTCTTGAACAGAATCTTCACTTTCACGCGAGGTAAAGCTCACTGATGACAACGACTTTTCCCTGTTTAACCAGAATAAGAGTTTATCGATAGGAGCAGCATCAAACAATATAAAGAAATGCAGCTTCTTGGAGATCGCTGTATCAAATATTAACCTCTCTAACTCCCTTTCCGATTCACCCTGCGGTTTGCGAATGTCCTGCAGAAGCTGACGCGATAAGCTGTCTTGGCTTTGAATTTCTTCATCAACCCTTTGTTCTTCCGCAGTTGCCGTTCCGTTTTCCAGAACGAAGC